TGGAAAGAACTGGTAAGTATTTAGTATTATATTATGATACTTGATAATGAAACATAAAGTGATTAACTAAATTTGTAACTCATGAGGTTTGTAATGTACATGTACATATTATGATACTGAGTGAAAACTACTGATGAATAATGCTGGTATTCAGTATGTGTGTGTGTGTCTGTTTTTAGTGTGAATGTGTGTTTGTGTGTTTTTGTGTTTTGTGTTTGTTTCTTTACCTAAATATGTGTGAATATACATGTGTCTGTGTGTGTGTGTAAAGATGGATTGACAATTGATAGAGTGTCAATGCTGGAATTAAAATAAATTGTATTTTATATACATTGTGTACATTGTGTATGTACATACATGTATTTGTGTGTATGTGTGTATATGTTTTAATATGTGTATGTGTGTACTAACACGTACATCATGTGTACATGTAACATGTACATGTGTGTGTATGTGTATGAGCAATTATGCATGCTTTACATGTAGCTTTATATGTGTATGCATGTATAGATGTAGATGTATGTGTGTTAGTGTGTCATTAGTATGTGTATGTGTATGTGTGTACATGCAGACACTTAGTAAGTTCTTAATTGAGGACTCACATGATATAATAACAGACTCAGTTGTGTATACTTGTCTATTAATATATTGTGTATTATTAATTTTATTATGTGATCTTTGTGTTACATAAAACACACTGTGCAGACTATAAAACTGTGAGTTAGTTATTGTGTTTATTAGCCAGATATCAAATCAATTAATACGTCATACACAAATTAATTATTATCATTTTAATTTTATAGATTAATCTACCAGACAATGTCACTAAGAGATACTGGCATTCTCTCTCAGTGTGGAGTGTGACCCCAACTACTAACTGGATAATTGAGTTTGGAGGAATAACAGTATTAAATGATACAGCAGTTATTGAACTCAGTAAGTACATGTAGACAGTAGTAGATACAATGTGTATTGAATATGTAATGACAATTAGTAATGATAATATTACAATAAAGTAAGTAATTCTTATGATGAATATTTAATGAGAGCATTTGACGTATACCTATGATACTAATTATTACCAATTCATTCCTACTATGTACAATAGTGAAATATAATGACTGCAGATACAGAAACACTGATATTAATAGGAGCTAGAGTGAATGAAATATTATTATCAGTGTATTTATATACAATAATA